GGTAATGAGAGCAAAGGATCTCTCTCTGTACTTATAGATAAATGTATTTATATTTATCAGTTTATTTTTCTTTTTTTAAGATTTATTTTATTTATTTAAAAGGGAGTTACAGAGAGAGGTAGAGACAGAGAGAGGTCTTCTTTCCACTGGTTCACTTCCCAAATGGCTGCAATGGCCAGAGCTGTGCCTATCCGAAGTTAGGAGCCAGGAGCTTTTTCTGGGTCTCCCATGTGGGTAAAGGGGCCCAAGCACTTGGGCCATCTTCCACTGCTGTCCCAGGCCATAGCAGAGAGCTGGATTGGAAGAGGAGCAGCCGGGACTCGAAGTGGCGCCCATATGGGATGCCAGCTCTTCAGGCCAGGGCTTTAACCTCCTGCGCCACAGCGCGAGCCCCTCTTAAAAAAAAAAAACAAAAAAAGATTTATTTATTTATTTTAAAGACATACACAGAGAAGGAGAGGCAGAGAGAGAGAGGTCTTCCATCCGCTGGTTCACTCCGCAATTGGCTGCAATGGCTGGAGCTGCACCGATCCAAGCCAGGAGCTTCTTCTAGGTCTCCCAAACAACTGCAGGGGCCCAAGGACTTGGGCCATCTTCTACTGTTTTCCCAGGCCATAGCAGATAGCTGGAAGTGGAACAGCCGGGTCTTGAACCGGCACCTATATGGGATGCTGGCACTGCAGGCAGCAGCTGTAGCTGCTATGCCACTGTGCTGGCTCCCAGTTTATTTTTCTGAGAGAGAGCGAGAGCGAGAGGGAGAGCGAGAGCGAGCGCTCCTATCTACTAACTTATTCCCGAATGCCTGCAGCTGTTGAGACTGGACCAAGCTGAAGCTGGGAGCCAGGAACCCAGTCCAGGTATCCCATGTTGGTAGCATCACTTGCTGCCTGCCAGGATCAGTGTTAGCTACAAGCTGAAATTGAGAGCAGAGTCAAGACTCCAACATGGGATGTGGGTGTCCAAAGCAGTGTTTTAACCACAAGGCCAAACACCTGCCCCTCTGTATTATTTCCTACAATTTCCTTTGAACATACAATTATCTCAAAATTATGTTTAATTAAAAATAATAGGGGTACATACATATGTAGTAAAAGATTAAAATATGCATAGGAATAAGTAAAATTAAGGTTTATGTAGTAGATACTTAGGGGGAGAGGGAAGGGGAGAAAAAGGTGCACAGGGTTTTAGTGACATCCACAATGTTTTATTTCATTATGGTCATAATCTTAAGTGACCATGGTAACATGTTAAGATCTGATAAAGCTGGAGGGTGTGGAGACACACTCATTCTATTACTCCATCTCGCATTCTGTATCCCACTGGGGTGAATATCAAGGATGAGGTCATGACCTGCCATGGCAGGAAATAGTGGGATATATTTTCCAGAGGCAATTTTAAGTATAAATAAAACAAAGTAGAGGTTGGTCTGTTGTTTAGTATCCCCTTGAGCTTGTAATTCTAATAATACCGGTGTCAGAAGACTTCTCCCAGCTAGACAAACAAGTGCTGCCACCCCGGTCCCTGATGGCTAACCTACTTGCTATATTCTAGATATATTGCCTAATCTACAGAGTCAGCCCATTAATGCTGAGTTCTTTATTCTAGTTTTATACAAGGACATCCACACAGGTCATCTCAAAACGTGTTACCATCTCAAATTATCAAAGAATGTATTCTATCATTTTTGTTACCATCTACTAAATGAATTAAGGGGAAAATGTATTTTAGAAGTTTTCGATCATTTTGGTCAAATGTATCTTCAGTTTACGCCTCTGACTCACTAGAAATATTCCAGTGTAGCACAAAGCTTTAAGCATTCTAGCAAGTCATTATGCTGCAATGGTGATGATAGTGTGGGATTACATATTTCATCAAGATTTAAATTGCAAAGCCAACATGGATGGCAAAATTAACAAAATAAACCTTTGGAGAAAAACCCTTAAGTCGCTCATAAAATAAAATAAGCCTGCTTTCATGAGCATACTCCTTTGTGGTCTGAATGTGTCCCCCTAAATTCACATGTTGGAAACTGAATCCCCAAAACAACAGTGTTGGCAGGTGGGCCTTCGGGGAGACGTTTGGCAGAGATCCCTTGAATGGACTGATGCCCTTGTGAAAAGGGAAGGTGCTTGTGCACCTGCCCCCGTGCAAGGACGCAGAGTCCTCCCCTGAGTGGACGAAGCAGCAGGTGCCCTCCAGGAAGCAGAGACGCTCACCAGCATCCACCGGTACATTAATCTTGGACTTCTGGAACTGAGAGGAAAAGACATTTCCATTCTTTTTTTATTTAAGATTTTATTAAATGCTGAGTGACAGAGAGACAGGAGAGGGAGAGGGAGAGGAGGGAGAGGAGAGGAGGGAGAGGGAGAGGAGGGGAGGGAGAGGGGGGAGAGGGAGAGGAGAGGGAGAGGGAGAGAATCTTCTATCCACTGATTCACCCCCCTAAAACCCCCAACAACTAGGGATGGGCCAGGCCAAGGTCAGGAGCTGCGGACTCAGTTCAGGTGTCCCACGTGGGTGGCAGGGACCCGGGTAATTGAGCCATCACCCACTGCCTCCTAGAATGCACCTTAGCAGGAAGCTCCAGTGGAGAGCAGAGCTGGGACTTGAACCCAAGCTTGCTGATACGGGATGCAGGTGTCCTGAGAGGTAGCTTAGCTATGTGCTAAATGCCCGCTCCTAAACCAGATTCTTAAACCCCATCACCACAGATTCTGATTCAAGGGGCCAAGAATTTGCATTTCAGATTAGCTCTCAGTATTGTTGAAATGCCCATCTGCCAACCACATTCTGAGAAATGTTTCAAGGGGTGTTTGTGTGTTTGTTTTGTTTTGTTTTTTAAAGCCCTTTGACTTTGGTCCTCAGGTAGCCTTTGGAATCGAATCCTTGTTGGGTTCTCAGGTTGAAGTTTACAGTCAGGACCTGGGAGGTGGCAGGTCCCAGCAGGATTGTTGCCATATACTGAGTCATTAAGTTCAACCACACAGCACACAGTAACACAGAACCATATGCTGCGTTAGCCTGCAGGATTAAAGTTCCTGCCTTTCAGAGAGCTCAGGATCGTTCCTGCACCTTCCAGCTGCCTGAGACTGCTTTGACTTACCACAGTGCTTTTCATTAGCCAGCGTGCTTGAGTGGCTTAAGGGAACATTTTAATGGTGGCATTATATTGAAGAGGACATGAACAATTGAGAATTACATGATTTTAACATTATTTAATATGAAAGAGAAAGGAGGAGGAAGGGGAAAGAGAGAGAGAGAGAGAGACAGAGAGAGATGTCTTCCATCTGCTGGCTCACTCTACAGATGACCACAACAGCCAGGGCTCGGCCAAGCCAAAGTCAGGAGCCTGGAGCCTCATCCAGGTCTCCCACATAGGTAGCAGGGGCCCAAGCTCTTGGTCCATCTTCCACTGCTTTCCCAGGCCATTAAGAGGGACCTAGATTGGAAGTGGAGCAGCAGGGACACAAACTGGCATACAGATGGGATGCAGGTGCAACTGGCAGCAGCTGTACCCCCCACGACACAATGCCAGCCTCAAGAATTACCTTTGATAGGATATACATGAAAAAGCACATTGCTATCGATGTATCAGAATAATTGGATCATGTCATTAAAATGAAAGGGAATTTTATTCAGGAAAGCATGGACATTTTGGTCTTGCAACACAGGCAATGTTTTGTCTACTATGTAATGACAGTTATTGCTCTAGAAGTTTTATTGCCAAATCATTGACTTTTCTCCAAAAACAAGCATCATAATTACAGCATTAGAAACACACATTGTAGGGGCCAGTGCTGTGGCACAGTGGGGTTAAAGCCCTGGCCTGCAGCACCAGCATCCCATATAGGCGCCAGTTCAAGACCCAATTGTTCCACTCCTGATCCAACTCCCTGATAATATGCCTGGGAAAGCAACAGAGGGCAGCCCAAGTCCTTGGGCCCCTGCATCTATGGGGGAGACCTGGAAGAAGCTCCTGGCTCCTGGCTTCAATTCAGCTCAGCTCCAGCCGTTGCAGCCATTTGGGAAGTGAACCAGTGGATGGAAGACCTCTCTCTTTCTGTGTCTCTACCTTTCTATGTAACTCTGTCTTTCAAAAAAATAAAAATAAATTAAAAAAAGGCAAAAAAAAAACATACATTGTAGGGCACTGGCATAGTGACACAGAGGGTTATGTCATTACTTGCAAGGTTGGTATCCCTTATTAGAATGCAGGTACTTGGGCCCTTGCCACCCATGTGGAAGACCTGGATCTCTCTCTCTCTCTTTCTCTCTCTCTCTCTCTTTCTCTCTCTCTCTCTTTAAAATAAATCAAAATAAAATCCCTTCAGAAACACATATTGTATATTTCATTAATGATGGCACTTAAACTGTATATTTGTGGAAGAAATATATTTGGAAGGCTGGGGCCGCGGCTCACTAGGCTAATCCTCCGCCATGCGGCACTGGCACACCGGGTTCTAGTCCCAGTCGGGGCTCCGGATTCTGTCCCGGTTGCTCCTCTTCCAGGCCAGCTCTCTGCTGTGGCCAGGGAGTGCAGTGGAGGATGGCCCAAGTGCTTGGGCCCTGCACCCGCATGGGAGACCAGGAGGAAGCACCTGGCTCCTGGCTTCAGATCGGCACAGTGCACCAGCCGTAGCAGCCATTTGGGGGGGTGAACCAACTGTCTAAATCTGCCTGTCAAAAAAAATTTTTTTCTTTATTTGTTTTGTACAACTGAAATACATAAATAAATCAGTAGCCAACACTGAGCCAGGCTGAAGTCAGGAGCCAGGAACTTGATCCAAGTCTCCCACATGAATACAGGGGCCCAAGGACTTAGGGCCGTCTTCCCCTGGTTTCCCCGGGCACATCAGCCTGGAGCCGGATCAGAAGTGGAGCAGTCAGGACAGGAAGCAGCACTTACATGGGGTGCTGATGTCGTAGGTGGCAGCTTAACCTCTGTACTACAATGCTGGCCTCGGTACATGTGTTTTGAAATTATTTGTCATCGGCTGTCGCCTCCATTTCGTCGGTAGAGGCAGGAGGCGGACGTCGGGTTGGAGACACCAGGCGGTCGGCAGCTAGCTGGTCGGTGCTTGCGGGTTGTTTTGATCCGTGCCTCGTCTCTCCCTGGAAAGGGAGGGAGGCCTCTACGTCGAGAGGCAGCGGCCGCCGTAGTTCCGAGCGTGAAGTCGCTAGGACTTCTCTCACGCTTGTGTGCTGAGGACACTCAGATGTTGGCCTCAGCTCCTAGGCTGAACTCGGCAGACCGGCCCATGAACACTTCTGTCCTGAGACAAAGGAGAGGATCGGCCAGAAAGCAACACCTAGGACCCTGGGCGTGGCAGCGAGGGAGAGGCCAGGCCGTGGGAACCCTGCACTCTGGGCAGCAGACTGAAAGGTACAGAAACTCCCATCTGACAGGGGGCTGTCTTAGGAGAGGCAGCAAGCCAGCCACGTACACTCGGAGCTGAGCAGTCTGAGTTAAGCAGCTGAACAGTGTTACCCAGATTTCTGTATCTACATGTTAGGGCCATAGAAGCTTAAACAGAATTTTTAACCTTTCTGACTGAAAATCTACTCAATGTTGCTTCCGTTCATTTGTAGGTGACAAAGAAGCTGAAGATGGGTGGTGGAGAGAGGTATAACATTCCAGCCCCTCAGTCTAGAAATAGTAAGAACCAACAGCAGCTTAACAGACAGAAGACCAAGGATCAGAATTCCCAGATGAAGATTGTTCATAAGAAAAAAGAAAGAGGACATGGTTACAACTCGTCAGCAGCCACATGGCAGGCCATGCAAAACGGAGAGAAGAACAAAAACTTCCCAAATAATCAAAACTGGAACGCGAACTTGTCAAGTCCTAGCTTACTTTTTAAGCCACAAGCCAATCAGAACTATGCTGGAGCCAAATTCAGTGAGCCGCCATCACCGAGTGTTCTTCCCAAACCACCTAGCCACTGGGTTCCTGTTTCCTTTAATCCTTCAGATAAAGAAATAATGACCTTTCAACTTAAAACCTTACTTAAAGTACAGGTATAAAACTGCTAAGTGCTAATGTTTAAATTGGCCTGAAACAAATTTGACTAGGGAGTTTGTGTAAAACTGATTAGTATAAGCATATATCTCATTTGTTTTGTGTGCACTGTGATATAATGGTAGTATCAGTGCAACTTAAGGTAACTAAATAATTGTACTTCCTACTAAGTGTCCTCAATTGAGTAACTTTGAGGTAAAACCATTAAAGTTTGGATTCTCATTCGTTTAGATTTAGGGGAGGGCAAAAGAAATAAGTTTTCTATTGTCTGTTGGGGGAAAGTAGTTACCATTATCATTCATGGATCAGTAGTGAGCTGCTTAAGGTCAGTGAATCAAATTAATCACCTAACACAAGGATCAAAAACTAGTTGAACCTTTGAAAGTTTACGTTCTAGAAACAAACTAGTAATGTCAACAACCCAATGCACTGCCAAAAGAAAATGTGAATTTTCCTTAATAAGTTACAGTTCAGTGCATTATGCAGTGGTGAATGGGAAGGGCACAAGTTTACCCATCAGCCTTCTTTAACTGCAGTTCAATAGGTGTCTGCCAATGAATGCATCCAAACCATTTTTTATAGGAACAGTATTTGATGGTCACTCAATAGCTTTCAAATACATATTTTGTATTATAGCACTGCTCAAGCTATTCTGTCAGTGATCTTAACATCGCTGCAAAGCTTGCTTAAAGTGGGGAACTGTATAATGTGAAACTTGTCTAGGGAAGAAAGAGCCATGTAAATACATGTAATCTTGTAGCATTTGTAAAGTTTTCTTGGCTTTTATCTTACAAAGAGTATTTTGGTATGAACTTGCTTAATGTAAGACCATGGATTGTTTTTTATACTATGGCCTAATTTTAAAGGTCTGAAATGTTTTTAGTTTGCCCCTGTGCTGAAGTGCCAGTGTATGTAATGACTGATTTGGATGTAAACTATATTTCAGAGGAAACCCTAGTGTGTAATGAGTTTTATAATATAACTGAAAAAGCTTTAAGCTGCTAAAACACTTCCTATTTTTGAGAGATGTGAAATGCAGTACAGGAACACCCCCTCCCCCATCTCCAATCAAGCCCAAAGTTGAGCTGTTGTAGAGTTCCTCCAGTCTTAAAGGTTCCTTTTGGTTTTCACAAATTCTTAGGTTCTATGATTCAAAAACACTTGAAATGTGTAGTACCAGTGGAGTTTTGTGTAATAAGTAATCCAGGGGACAACCTATTATATAAAAGCATTTCTTGCATATAATACCTAGGTACATTTTGAAAGGTAAATTCAAAATAAAACTTAGAAATTAAGCCAGATACACTGTTGATCAAGAGTTAATGCCCTATTTTTTCACCTAATTTCATGTTCATAAGAGTGATCAAGTTTTATTTCCTCAAATATGTCATAAATTAATGTCCAACTCAAATATTCGAATAGCCTAAAGACAATTTTATATAGTACTTCATGTACATAATATGAATTTGAAGCATGAAATTAAAAAATAAACTTTTTCCTCCCCCCCAAAAAAAATAAATAAATAAAAAAAAAAGAAATTATTTGTCATCGATCTTCCCTCTCTCTGGGCTCCATGAGAGAAGCGGCTGTAGCCGTTTTGTTCCCTGTTGTATCCCTACCACTCAAAACACAGTGGTCAGTTTTCAATCAAGAATTGTTATATGAGTAAATCAATTTCCTTAGCATTATTTTTTATGCACGTTAACTGTGACTGGATATTCCCTTATATTTTTATTATATCTTATTATTTGTTCTGAATAAATTATCTCTTCCAATAACATTTTCATTCCCCTATTATGCTTTTAAGACCTGAATATTCTTTGAGTAGTATAGTAGATACTTTTCTCATAATAACTACTTACTTGTTCTCTTCCGAAGTTTAAACTACTCTTGCTGAAATCTTCTGTTGGTTTTGTACCTTTGGAAACTATTCAGTGTATTGTCGATTTTTCTGCCAGTTCCGCTTCCCACTTCGCTGTTTTGTTCTGGTTTGTTTTAATATGCAAGACAGACAGCAGTGGGAGGGGACGCCTCCGTTGATTCACTCCCCGAATAGCTACATGGCCAGGGCCAGGCCAGCCCAAGTCCAGGGGCCCAGAAGTCTGTCCAGGTCCCCTATACAGGTGGCAGGAACTAAATGACTTAAGCCATAATGGCTGCCTTTAGGGGTATGCATTAGTCGGAAGCTGCAGTCAGGATCTGGAGCCCGGCCTTGAACCCAGGCACTTAGATTTGGATGCCAATGACCTAACTGCTAAGCCAAACCCTCCGTCCCACCTGGGCGCTTTAGTAATCATGGTTTGGGTTTGGGTTTTTGTTTAAGATCCCCTCACTACTTTCCAGCTTACTTTGCTGGCAGGGGGAGAGTTGGAGGAAGTGGGTGGTAGCAGAACTCAGAGATGAAATTGTATTTTTAAAGAAGGCATTCAACACAGTATTGATGTTAAGGCTGTACTGGCTTGAATCCTTTACCCTCAATTCTCTAGTTATGACCTTTTGTCTTGCTTAAGCAAGATACATATCTCAATTTTAGTTTCCCCACTTGCAAAATGAAGTCAACACTGGTTAGTAGGAACAGGATCATTCAGGTAAAACCCTGAACACAATGCTCACTGGAAACCCAAGAGAGCAAAGGGTCAGATATATCTTTAGGGGCCACAGCCCATATCAGAGAGCAAGATCGAATCCCAGCTACCCTGCTTCTGGCCCACCTCCCTGATCATGTATCCTGGGAAACAGGAGATCATGCCTCAAATTCTTGGGTCCCTGCCACAACACATGGGACACCTGGATGGGGTTCTTGTCTCCTGGTTTCAGGCCAGCCTCACCCTGGCTGTTGGGGAGTGAACCAGCAGAGGGAAGATCTTTCTCTCTCTCTCTCTCTCTCTCTCTCTCTCTCTCTAAGTTTTGCCTTTCAATTGGATGAAAGTAAACAAACATTAAAAACATTAATACTTAAAAAAAAGACATAATCTTATTTGAGCATATCAATAAACCAAAGAAGAATGTATAGGTCAAACACACAGAATCACTTCAGGTCTTTGAGAACCCCCTCAACCCTTAGGGAATGAATTGAAACTGGAAGCATAAGCAGGACTGTGTGGTGAGCAGTAGATGTTCCTTGTTCTTGTTTCTACCAAGCACAAGTGTTTTAGGGAGAAGGTACTGGAAAACTTCATTTCATTTTCTTTTAAGGGAATATGTTAAAATGTAAAATATGTAGCACTTAGCAATTTTTAAAACTATAAATTTAAATCTGAAATTACTTGTGCAATGTTTAAAAAAAGAAGGCAGACAAGATACAGGTGATCAAATCTGATGCAAGAGATTCTAGTAACTTTGTCCTACTTAGTTTGGAATAATTTAGCTGACAGTAGGAAAAGATAAGCAGACTTATGAGCAATAAAAATGGAAATAGGTTGCCTGGACAAGTGCTGTTTAAAAAAGCAAGGTAGCAGGAAAAGGGAAGATCATTTTTTCAAAGCCATCAGCTCCTGGTAGATTTTTTAAAGTAACAAAGGAAACCAGGTCAGTAAGCAGATCTTCTGATGATAAACTGAATAACAACTTCCAAAATAACTAACTGTATAGCAAACATGTCCAGGAGAGTTGGTTCCCGTCTCAGAGGAAATCAGTTGGAGAGGAATAGCTTTTTATTGTTTAGCACCCAAACGCATTGATCATCCACAGCCTAGGGACACAGAGAGCAACAGACGAGTGGGAGGAAGGCAGAGCCACAAGTAGAATCAAGGTTCTCCTGGGAGAGGACACAGAGCGCCTGTGATCACCTCCCACGACTGGCTGTCTCCCTGGCAGGTTCAACCACAACAGGCTAACACCAGGATTTCACAAGTCTTATGTCTTGTCTGGCAACCCCTCACTGGGAGGTGGTGAACCAGAGAACACGTGACCAGTGCATGAAACTGAGGAAGTCGTTGTACTGCCTCTGGTGGACTGAGTCTGGGCCAGCTCTGGCCAGAACTCAGCACATTTAACCAGCTCGAGTTGCAGACTGCACCAATTGCTGACATCTGGGGGCCGAGCTGGACTGAGAACTATTTGTATTCTTAGCCTTGTTTTTTTTTGTTTTTGTTTTTGTTTTTGTTTTTGTTTTTGTTTTTTGAGTCCTCCAAACGCTACATAAAATGTTTTGGTTCTTGCAGTGGCAAAGTAGGCCATCTTTTTTTTAAAAAAAAAAAAAAGATTTTATTTATTTATTTGAGAGAAAGAGTTACAGGCAGAGAGAGGGAGAGACAGAGAGAAAGGTCTTCCATACGCTGGTTCACTCCCCAAATGGCCGCAATGGCCGGAGGTGGGCCCATTGGAAGCCAGGAGTTTCCTCCGGGTCTCCCACATGGGGGCAGCGGCCCAAGGACTTGAGCCTCTTCCACTGCTTTCCCAGGCCATACGCAGAGAGCTGGATCAGAAGAGGAGCAGCTGGGACATGAACCAGCACCCACATGGGATGCCACTGCCACAGGCGTAGGCTTAGCCCACTACGCCACTTAAACAACACACGCCTGCAGAGAAGAACTAGAAACTAGTTGGATGCAAACTTTTTAAAATCTGTTGAGAGGCATTGGCTAACTCTCAGACTGAGGGTTATAAAATCAAAACCAGGAGATTTCTTTCTGCGGGTCCAGGGAGATGAGGGAAGCATTCGGAGGGGGCTTTTCACTCCAAAAGCAGCCTCTGGAAAGCAGAGGGGCCGATGGAGATTTTGTGAGGATCTCCTGAGACCCTCCGAGTTGATAGGAGTGTAAGGATTATTTTAAGCCGGAGACATCTGAGATTCAACAGATGAAGAAAAAGACTGTCCAGAGCTTTTCTAATCTGACTCAAAGCAGACATTCCTTTTTTTTTAAGATGTATTTATTTATTTATTTGAAAGTCAGAGTTACACAGAAAGAGAAGGAGAAGCAGAGAGAGAGAGGTCTTCCATCCACTGGTTCACTCCCCAGTTGGCTGCAATGGCCGGAGCTGCATGGATCTGAAGCCAGGAGCATCTTCCAGGTCTCCCACGTAGGTGCAGGGGCCCAAGGACTTGGGCCATCTTCTACTGCTTTCCCCGGCCACAGCAGAGAGCTGGATCAGAAGTGAAGCAACCGGGACTCAAACTGACCCCCATAGGAGATGCTGGCACTGCAGGCGGCAGCTTTACTTTCTATGCCACAGCATCGGCCCCTCAAAGCAGACATTTCTAAGATACAAGAACTACCATAAACTGCTTCTGTGCCAGTCCACTCCCAGGAGAGAGGCTCAGGGTAAACCTACCATAAACTCCTTTCCAGGAAGCTGCATAGCCATGAACAAACCAGGAAAACCACTCACACCTGCATCAACAAACACCACACCTGGGAAAGCAGCAGAAGATGGCCCAAGTCCTTGGGCCCCTGCACCCGTGTGGGAGACCTGGAAGAAGCTCCTGGCTCCTGGCTTTGGATCGGCGCAGCTCCAGCTGTTGTGGCCATCTATGGAGTGAACCATTGGATGGAAGACCTCTTTCTCTGTCTATACCTCTCTCTGTAATTCTGTCTTTCAAATAAATAAAATAAATCTTTAAAAAAAATAAAACACAACCTTCCTATCTCCCATTTATTCTCCAAACAGCTGTTTGTCATTTTTTTTTCTTAAGATTTATTTATCCATTTGAAAGACAGAGAGCACAGAGAAAGAGTGAGAACCAGAGACACAGCTGGTTCACTCCCCAAATGTTGCAATGGCCAGGGCTGGGCCAGGTTGAAGCCAGGAGCCAGAACATTCATCCAGGTCTCCCTCCTGGGTACAGGGGCCCAAGCACTTTGGCCATCTGCTGCTTTCCCAGGTGCACCAGCAGGGAGCTGCATCGGAAGTGGAGCAGCTGGAACTTGAACTAACACTCATATGAGATGCTGGTATGGCAGGCTGCGGCTTTACCTGCTATGCCACAATGCCAGGGTTGGGGAGGCATCCTCTCTTGTTGCCCTCCCATTTTCCCACTAACTTAGGGATGTAAACTCCCAATCCTCACCTCCAGTTTGAGTTACTCATCAATGAACACACCTATGTGTATGCACACTGCACACATAAAGTAAATATTTCCCCTGATAGTCTTGTTTTCAGTTTAATACACAGGCCCCAGCTACTGAACATGAGCAGATAGAAGAAAAGTTTATTCCTGCCCCCACCAAGTTCAATGAACTCATGGAGCCGGGAGGATTCAGGGTTCACAGGGAGAGGCCATGGTAAGGACATCAGATTTTTGCTAGTGACACCCAAGAGCTGTCCTCTAGGGTAAGAATAAAACATAATTAGACCAGGG